CAAGGTGGACAAAGACAGGATGTTCCAGAGATTGGACACAGTAACAAGGGGACACAGTTGGAAGGTGAAGACACAGATGAATCACAGGGATGTTAGGAAGTATTTCTTCAGCCACAGAGTAGTCAGTAAGTGGAATAGTTTGGGAAGCGATGTAGTGGAGGCAGGATCCATACATAGCTTTAAGCAGAGGTATGATAAAGCTCACGGCTCAGGGAGAGTGACCTAGTAGCGATCAGTGAAGAGGCGGGGCCAGGAGTTCGGACTCGACCCCCGCAACCTCAACTAGGTGAGTACACACCGACAAAGCCAGACAATAAAAAGGAAGGAACGAGAAAGGAAACTGGAAGGAAAGGCAACGCAGAAAGTGATGGTGTGTTTATAAAGGAATGCAACTCGTGCAGAATACAAATATTAATGCAACTCATTGCCTTTTCATTCTGTTTCGGTGTTTATTAAAAGCAAAAATAATGTTCACATTACACGATTTTTGTGAAGAGATTGAGAAATATATGGAGACTTGGAGACCACTGAGAATGGTGGGGTGTTTCGACGAATGAAGAGTTCATACAGCTTTATAAGTGTACGTTGTAGGGATAATCCTGGACCCCTGGCTTCTCCTCCCGTATATCAGATTACATTAATGTCCCGATAATAAGGATAATAACCCATGTTGGTGCAAGACTTGGTGGAGGCTTGATCCTCTGTCTAGTAACTGTTTATCATCACTTTTTTAAATACCACCATTTTTTTGCCCCTGACCACTTTTTCAAGTGGAAGAGCAAGTATTTTCTCGTCATCTTAAGAGTGTACCTCACTAATTAAAGTGCATTAGAAAAACGTTTACAGAAAATACTTCTTGGAGATCATTTTAAACCACGGTAAGAGGAATATAAAATTTATTATTTATTTTTAGTACTGAATGATATACGTAAATAATATAATCTCAACACTGGGTGCTTGGGACATTGTGTATTGTCATTCAATACTAGAATAAATAGTTTTATATTCTTCTTACCGTGGTTTAAAATGATCCCCAAGAAGAGTTTCATTCAGGCGTTTTTTAATGCACTTAAATGAGGTACACTATTAAGCTGGCGAGAAAATGCTTGCTCTTCCTCTTGAAAAAGTTGTCAGGGGCAAAACAAATGGTAGTATTTAAAAAAAGTGATGATAAATTGTTACTAAGGGTAAGGAGGTCCATCCACACCCCTTAGTAAACACTGGCATGTAACTAATGACCATGTAAAGTGACTTTTTTTTTTTTTTTGAGTTAAAAATAACTTATGATAATCTGCTTACCTGGGTCATAATCGTATTCCCTTAAGTGAGTTTTTAGTTAAATAACTTTGCCGACGGTATGAGATGGCTCGCTTCCCTATCCTTGGTATAACTGCCTTCCGTTTCTCTGATTGGAAGCTAGAGTTGTAGCTGCCGGGTTGATCTGTCGTTGTTTGTTACCTGGTATCTTTCGTTGCTCCTCTGTGAATGCCTCCCTAAACCTACTTGTCTCATTTACTGTAAGTAATCTTTCTTCAGTCTTATCACTTGGTCCTTTACGCATGTATATCAGTGGTATTCAGTACCGACAAGATGATGAATTAGACACGTGTAACATCTGGGTATGTTTACGTTTCGCTATCCAGTGGCTTTATCGGTGCAATACATGGACTCAAGACTTGTCTTGAGCACCGCAGTCTTCAAAACTATTCTTGAAGACTGCGGTGCTCTTCACCTGCTCCTAGGCTTAGGAAATGATTACTCTATTTTCCACTACTTGCTGCATGTATTTCTATTATGTCCATGTATTGTACTGATAAAGGTCACTGGATAGCGAAACGTCTACAAGTAAACATACCCAGATGTTACACGTGTCTAATTCATCATCTTGTCGGTATTGAATACCACTGATATACATCCGTAAAGGACCAAGTGATAAGACTGAAGAAAGGTTGCTAACAGTAAATGATAGAGACAAGTAGGTTTAGGGAGGCATTCACAGAGGAGCAAGGAAAGCTGTCAGGTAACAACGACTGATTAACCCGGCAGCTACAGCTCTAGCTTCCAATCAGAGGAACGGAAGGCACTGAACCTTATATTATTACTCTCATGGGAGGGTGGTGGTAAATCCGCAGGAGTCGTATACAACTCCTGGAGTAAAGGAAGACAATCAAAGGAAGAGATCAGGTCCAATTCTCTAGATCAAGAGCCCCTCACCAGCGTCAAGAAACTTCCCTTGATGGGACCTCACCTTATAGAGAGGAACAAGGGGAAATTTGAACATACTATACACAATACTCAGAGGATTAGATAAAAGAGATGGAGACACTATTTGAGATACCCGGAGAGTGAGCCAAGGGACACTGATGGCCCCCTAAAGTACTTTAGTCTTATAGTGGTAAGAGGAAAGCAATATATCAGCGTTCCCAAAGGGTGCGGTGTGCAACACTGGTGGGGCGAGAGAGGATGGCAAGTGTGGAGGGAACATTCAAGGACAATCAAAGAAACATTTAAACATTCATGTACAGAAACCAGTAGAAGTAAGAGGCTCCTCTATACGTATATTATGAGAATGAATCATGTTTACATGTACCTGCAGTGTTTTATACTTTTATACAAAAATACTGCTAGTATTGTTTGTTGTTTTTTAATGTATTTCTTGTCAATAAAAACATTAGGTGTGACGGAAACTAATTTTATTCCAAAAGTGTGGCTCAGAGAAAAAAGTTTGGGAACCACTGCAATAGATGAAGAGGTGGTGGACACACACTATACGCAATTTCAGGAGTACATAAGATCAGGCCCTGGAGGCCAGAAGTCCGTGAAACCGATTCTTAAGAGGCGGGACCAGAAGCAATGACTGGATCACCGCAAACTAGGCATGTGCAAGATTGCTTTCTCTCATACACGTGACTCAACCATGCCCCCTCACTTTCCCTTCGGAGTGTCGCATAGCTTACTATTAAGAGCATTCTACTCACAATCTCAAGGTCCCGGGTTCGATTCCCTAGTACAGAGACACAATTGGACAATTCCTTACGCTCATGCTGCCCCTGCTCACCTGGGCAGTAAACACAGGTACCTGTGTGTTAGTCTAATGTTGTGGATCGCATGTAGGAGAAAAAATGTGTTAGGAACCTCCAGTCCTAATGAACTGTCACATTTTGTGTAAAAAAAAAAAAGCACTCAGGTCCTAGATAATAAACGCCAACACCTGCTGGATAAGTTGAAGTGTTGGGTAAATGATAACATTGTACTTAATGATAAACAAAAAATCTCCCACACTCCCTACCTCATCACACCCACGCTCACATCGTCCATCCACAGCCCCACACTCACCTCTCTCCCAACCCCTTTGCCCACATCCACCCAACACACCCTCGCCCACACCACGCATGAATATGCATACTGCTCATCCGCCGCTTACGGCTAATGGCACAGTTTTAATCTGGGTTTCAACATGATTGATGTTCTGGTGATTCCTGGAGAGCTCAACCCCACTACACCACCACCACCCGACTACCAACAAACCGTCACCCAACCAAACCTCCACCACCCACCAAAATACCCATAACACCACCATACCAACCACACCATCACTGCATACCACAACCACAGCAACACCATTACTGTCCACCACGATAATCTTAGTAACATTTCTTTAATCACCACAGCCAGACAATCAGTATCTATCACAACACTACTCCTGGCCACCACTACTATAACAACAATACTGTCTATCTGATCTCCACACCACCTCAACCACAATCACCCTAATTTCTCACCATCTGTTCTCCATCCTCAACCCAACCACGACTGTCCAATTCATCGCCACACTTCCACGACCAAATAACCATTCCACCGGCTACACCACCCACAGTATCTCACTGCCACAGTTACCATACCAGAGTGCACTAGTGGTAAGTGTGGTGGATTCAGTCGTGGCAGAGAAGCAAGTATAGGTGAAGGTAGAAGTGGTAGAGGTAGCATGGTAGACTAGTGGTGACAGCGGCGTCACCACTGGGTAAGACAGAGGTGATGGTGATAACCAAGGCAGCAAGAGTGATGAACTAGGGTGTCGACACCATGGAAAAATTACTGCCACTAATGACCCACTGCTACCATAAATATTGTCAACATTTACAGAATTACCGCTACATTTCCGCCAGTGGCTCTGGACAGCTCCATGTCACCACCATTTACCACCAGCATAGATCAATACATAATGCTAAATGTTAAACTGTGAGCCATGTAGGTTAAATTACAGCAATTTCAGATAAATGTGCTTTTATAGCAGCACTGCCATATAGGCTGTCACTCATACGTGCTGCTAGATAAACAAGGTATCATATGGGGGACGAACGCTGGTCTGCTGGGTAACATTACCACATTTTATTCGTGATGTTACTGCGGGATAAATGTTCCCGATGGTTATTACCGAGTGTATGAACATTCGTGTTTAATTAATTCGCTACCTATATCTATACTATATGCTATGAACCCTGTACACATTTTTTCTACCGGTTTGCGCTCTGTCCTATTCTTATTTAGCATTGTCTATAAGATATATCTCAAGGTTACCTGCAGCCTTTTACGGAGGTCACTGCCCCCGAGGCCCGGTCCCAGACCAAACAAAAATCTACACATTACTCCCAAGTAGCTTGTTCGCTTATTAAGTCATTGCATTTACTGTCATTTTTTACCGTTTCCACCTGTCGATTAATTTTAATTATTTTTTCCCTCCTTCCCTTCCATGTCAGTATTATGGTCACCTTCATCCCCGCCAACCCTACACACAAACTGTTCGACAAGAGTTATAAGGCAGGTCCAGGAGCTATGATTCAGAGAAACACCTTGTTTATCAGCCCCTGCAAACACAACTGTGTACACAAGGGAGAGAACAGAGACGGCCTCCACGGAGATTTTTAGGTTCCAGGAGTGGTCGAATAAGAGACTGCTAGAGTTCAATCTGAATAAATGCAAGGTGAAGGGAGAGTGTTTACCTTTGGGTCGTTGAGGATGGGATGGTCTGTGACGCCGGGGAAGAACACCTTCATAACGTAGCTGCGGTGGTCCAGGGTTGGGATCCCTGAAGACTCCAGGTCCGCCGTCAGATCTGTCATGTCCGTCTGCAGCTCGGCGAACGCTGTAGCCAGAGGAAAAAAAATAAAATTGAAAGGAAAAGAGAGGTAGAAAAGAGGGAGGGAAAGGAGAGGAGGAAGGGAAAGAAGGGGAGGAAGGGATGACTGGTGGGGAGGGTAGTTGTAACAATAAAAACTGTTAAATGAATCACAATATTACATCATTTGTTGTTATGGCTGCGACGGGGCTGCCGGAATTACCATTGCAACCATTAACCTCGTATGTAACGATGATTTGTTGCTAGCAACACAGCCATACGTTGCAATAATAGCAATATTTCTGGTTCGATGAAACGTTTTACTAAAAATAGCGACCGTTCCACAACAGAGGGCTCTGAACTCCCTCAGTACCTGACAGTGCTTGATCAGGCTTCCTCCTACAGTAGATGGTAGACTAGCTCGATCTAATTCTCTCCAGGATACGACAAGCTAGCCCTAGATACTAACAGATTCGCCCCTGGATGGCAAAACTGACAAGCTAGCCTTGTATTGTGACACGCACGCACGCCCCTGGATAGTAAGGCTGGGAAGCCAGCCCTGAATAGAGACAAGTTGCACCAGGACAGTTACATCATTAAAGCAACAATGGATTGTAACAACCTAGCACCAACCACCAACACTATACCGCTCAGTGACTACTTGTAACAAGGAAACATCGTATTCACAGGGAAGTGATAAACCTTTACTGATCATATAGCACATGTAAAATGGGATTCAATCTAATTTGATACAAAGAAGGTTATGTATATTTTGTATGACTGTTTATGAACCTATAATCAACCAAAATATCCAGAATCGACTATGTGAAGGTGGTTGCTCTTCCAGTTTATGTGACGAGGAAATAACCTCAAGAAATGAGGTAACTGACAACACTAAACTGTAGACGGAGAAAACAAGGTTGAAGGCTGAAGCTACGCCACTTAAACTACCTCCGCTACTGTTCATATTCTTGGTTCTGCCAGGTTTTCAAAATTGCCAATTCCTCTGATATACTCTTAACATTGCTCTTATTTTCACCATGCCCTAACCCTTCATGGGAAAGTGTGCATTAATGCTGACGAAAGGCTTTTAATCTCCCATTAGGTGAAATGTAACTAGCTCTCATTCCCCAGACGCTCTATGACCACCACGGGTTTATCGCCTCATCATGGCCAATTACACCCACAACACACTGCCCACTACTCAAACATGTACTCAACACAGTGCCCACTACTCCACTATGTACTCAACATACTGCCCACCAGTCCATGTACTCGACACGCTCCCTACTCTTGCCCCACCCCTGCCTCAAAATGCCCATCCATCACGCTGGCCTGTCTTCAGACCTCCTGCCTTGCTGACACACACACACGATGATGGGTTTACCTGGACGTGCCAATCGAACATAAATGAAGACCAAGTCTGTGTGCTGGTGGTTCACTCGGCCACAAACATGTGTTATATCAGAGTGGAGGAGAGTGGTTACGGGATATGACGAGTTAAGTGCTAGCATGTTAGACAATTTCAAAGGGATATTTTTTTGTTTGCTTGTAAAAGGGTAAACCCGTGTGGGTTGTTAGGGGTGGTGGAGGAGCGTGAAGATGATCTCGAGCGACTGAGGGCGTATGAGCAAGAATGTTGACACAGGAAATAGATCCACCTATTAGCCACTGGTTGGTAAAAGGGATCAGCAGTAGGGACTCGACATACTTTTACTCATTTATAGTGTATCACAATAGATTCGTTTTACTAATAACATTTTGAGGTCTTAAATTCACTTCAGAAAACATGAATGGCGGTTTTATCAAACTTGACAAAACCAGTGATTATTATTGTTATTTTGTCTGGGGCAGAAGAGGAGTCTGGACAACACCTAGGGAATAGAGGTAATCAAATTCGACCAAGGAAGGAGAGGCTAAATCTATTTCCTAGGACCATGGGCACCTCCCTTGAAGTAATGGCCAGTTGAACGTTAATCCCCCACCTGAAGGGTGAGGGTCACAAGGGTAACATTCATTGATAAAGGTCACACAAATACTCACCCTGTTTACACTCTGTTCGGACGTGACTCTCGAGGCTATCCATCTGCAGCTGCATCAGCTTGTATACTCTCTCTGCCTGGGAGGACTTACGCCGGTACACTGCTAGCACCACAAACGATGCTAGCACCAGAAATAGCGCTCCGCCTGCTAATCCCGCAATACCCTCTGGGGTGAGTGGAAACCGTCGGTGCCGTTCATAACGAAGAACCCCCAGAGGAAAACGGAGGTACTCTCCCACGTGCACCACAACCAGCGGAAGCAGCTCTGGAGTAGACACACCTCGCTCGTCTGTGGGATCTGGTTGTGCTTCAGGTGGTGTGCACACCAGCTGTGTCGCTGCTAGGGAAGTAACATTACACAGTGATCCGCCAATAGTCACACGAACGTCGCTCTCGTCTGCAGCGTCATTGATGTGCTCGCCCTCTATGACTAGCGTGTCGCCTTTGTAAAGTTTGACGCCGTGAGGGAAGGGATAGTAGCGAGGGTTTGTCATGTACGTCAGACGGGACCTCACATCCGGGAAGTGTTTTCGAAGATGAAGTACTGAGGAGACACCGTCCATTACGAAGCCAACATCGACAGCTACTTCGTCTCCGTCATGGTCCCGTCTTCGTGGAGATCTCTGGGCTTTGTGAGATCTTCTGTTGCGACTTCGGCGACGACGCCGTACACTGTCATGCGCTTCCAAGATTGCAAGAACTACGTCGCGATCCAATGGAGGTGAAGGACACTCCATCTGGTCTGGACTCAGAACACGGCAGGCGGATGAATTGAGGACACGCTCGAAGAGGTTGACAGTAATTCTCGGTGCCTGTATAGCATCGAGATGAGTCCCGTGGACAGTAACAAGGCGGCCGCCGCCCCATGGACTTTTCAATGGTTTGAGTTCGAGAACTTTAGGATCCGGTGTATATGTGAAAGGAGATGCGAGTGTACGCCTTGCTCCATCCACCGTCACTACCAGAGTCTTCACAGACCTTGGGACCTCCTCGCTTTCCTTGTTACCATCTCCAGACGCCTCCGCTGCCCTCGAGGTGACGCACACCAGACGGTGTGAAGATGACTGCGTCTTGTTAACGACGCAAGGAAGGTCGTCAAGTTTGGCGGAGACGTGGGAGCCCACGTTGAGGAAGCGGCCGCTGATGGAGAGCACAGTTCCTCCGGACACTGGTCCATGTGTCGGCCACACCCCTGTCACACTCACGTTCTGCACAAGAAAAAGTTGCATTTGAATAATAAGTCAATACAGTTACTGTAATAAATCACTATGAACCCCTAACCTGGAGCGCATACTTCAGACATCTTGGTCCGCCTTGGACCATTATCAAGCTACAGCTTAATTGTTCAAGACTGACCTCAGTATATACAAGTTCCTCTCTAAACAGTATAATACAAATGAAAAGTGAACATAGGTTTGTTAAATAATTTAAATTTATACAAATTCCAGATAAACATGTGTATTCCTAGTAAAAACAAAGCAATAAGTAAAAAATAATTGAAACTCACCGTATAGGTGAACTTAACAGTGGACTGTGTGGTGCCGGCAGGAGTGGTCACCCGCACAGGAAACTGCAGTTCAGCGGAGGCGGGCAGACCGTGCTGAAGTGGCGCGGGGCTGGTGCGACATGTAATCCTTACTGACACGCGATAGTCATGCACGTGACAAGGCACGTCACCAATGAATACGTTCTCCTGCACGTCCTCTTCCCGTAGACCCAGGTTGCTGCCCTCTATGGTTACCAGGGTGCCGCCCTCCAAGGGACCAGCCAGGGGCTGGATCTGAAAAAGTTGATACACTTATGAAAAAATACGAAAGAATAATAAACACTGGCCAAAGACAAAAAGAAGAGTGCTGAAAAATTTCGACCTACTATAGAAGAGGGCCTTAATGACAGACCGAAAGATTAAAGCAATTTTTTGTTTTATTTTCTATATGTGGGTTCGTATATACCATTAGAATACGAGAAAAGACGAGCACTCAGTAGGTATACCAGGCTATGCTAAGCAGGTTCTCCTCACGCCTAGCCATTACCACTCAAGAATCTGTCCAGCCTGTTTATAGAACAGCAGCACAAAATTACACCTACACGTGTGGAAAACCAAGAGGAAGAGGCACAGAGAAGATACCTCTCCACGGCATCTCTTGCGTGTTGCACAAATAATGTCTCTGAAAACATCCATCGCTGAAACTACAGATTAGTAAACAGGTTCTGTCGCTATCACTGACACTACTTTCACTAATAAAAGAACACCTTTCGCTAGGATAACTAATCACTAGAGCCAACTCCAACACCACTAGAAAACGACTGTTGCTAGACTCACCCGATGCTATTACCATTATGATCATGTTTATTATAATATTCATAAGAAAGCGCTAAACCACCACACTAGGAATCGTAACCACCACTACAGCTAGTAGAACTAGATATATTTCGGTCGTTGCAAGATCCGAGAAAGCTATCCTTTCATTCCATCAGCTCAACCTCATCTACCTCAATGCATGCAAAAGGAATGTTGAAAGTTGGTCATAAAATTCCAAGGCAGTAAAATATATAAAATGTGTATGTTTGTATATGGAAGTGCATATGTACTGTATACATATGCACTTCCATATATATACAAGTGTATATGTATATTGATAAATTCTCGCACACAAACTAAACTGAATGAGTACATTCCTAGTCATAAGATACATCAGCCATTAAATACTGAAGCCATTCAGAAGAGGCAGACTCATATGTTTGATCGTGGTGACTAAACGTGAATAAAAAAAAATCACACAATTTTGCTCATAAATTGGCCAAATCTGCGCCAACACACCTGAATTACACTTTCCGCCCTCGTCTAGTTAAGAGGAACCTTACACAATACACAGAGGCACCTTTACGAACGTCTGAAGTTATACCACTGAGGGTTTGGGAAATTATCCGAATCATCTCAATAAATGACATAAACCACATATAGTGTTTTTAGTCACATACTTGTCCGTACATTTCATCACTGATAAACATTCCTTTCATATCTCTATCTCAGTGACGGCAATATTTCTAGGCACGCCAGAAATTTTTAATCAGTTCGCAGAGTTGGCCATCAGCCATGGGAAGAATGATCACTACCTACACTTCACCTTGTCTTCAGATTGATAAAGTGGACGACGCCAATTATACCGACATCTCTCGCTGCCTTCCAATCATCACAAAACAGCAACACATTAAGTAAATCCTCCTCTTCCCTCTCTCTCTCTCTCTCTCTCTCTCTCTCCCCTTTATAGTCCAAATCTCCACACAACTCTCCTCTACTTTTATTCCCTTACACTTTACACTCCTCTCCTTTACCTTCAATTTTAGTTTTTCCATTCCACTTTTCTCATGCTATTTAAAAAAAATATATTTTTTTTCGTCTTGTCGTCCCTGGCCTCTGTCTCCCCGGCCCCGGGCCAGCAAGGAAGGGGCCACAGGCCCATCAATCATATGTTTGGCAGTTGGCATAAGAGCAGTAGATTGCTTCTTCGTACGTCACCGTCCATGTTTCTGCTACCTGCTCCCTGATTGGTAGGATAAAAACATGGCGAGCCAATCAGCTTCACGAACCACCCCATGCGTCACTCTGTGTATCCTTAACACAAAACATCATTGGTTGCACGCCAAACAGATGGACCAATCACACGAGGGTTCCATACGTCATCATCGGTATACCCGTCACCTGGTTTCGTTCCCGTGAGCCTGACACGTCGAATTATGACAGTAAGAACGGGAATGGGTGTTTCTAGGGTGTAGGAACATTAAGACGTTGAGGGCCGCCGGTAAATTAGAGAATAGGGAAAGAAAAAACAATGAACAGAAAATAAAGCTGAAAGCTTTAGAAAGGAATAATCAAGAGTTAATGAGATAATTACCAGTGACCAGTTTCAAGAGTTCCTCCATCCTCGGAATACAATTCGGCCCGATAAACATTTGATGAGTTTCCTGTGTCGGTGCTAGCCTGATCAATCAGGCTGTTAATGCTGGAGGCCCGAAGCCAAGTTCCCTTGATAAATGTTTGATTAGCCAGGATCTTACTGCGGCTTGCACTAAGAGCCAGAGACTGGACACCAATATACCTTATCTTTGATATGCCTTTGATGAGTTTCGAGTCTTCCTGCTCCTGGAGCCCGGCCATGGACCAGGCTCGTCAAGATGAATTAGATAACAAGGGGCCATATAGGGAAAGTAATGGATTATTTTTATTATTATTATTATTATATGAAGATTTAAACTAGTATGTATAATTCAGTACAAGGTGTGGTGGAAGCTCGATCCTCCGTTAGAAAAGCTCCTCTCTCACCCAGGCTAAAAACACAAACTGGAGAAGCGGAACCCAGGCGAGAGGGTAGCAAGTGCATGACTCCACCCCTCAACCCCATGAGAAGGGAGGGCAAAGTTGTTGGGGTGAGACAAGGGGAGGAGCTGGCAGGGGTGAGCCACGCAACACCTTCCTCAACCCACCTGACACAGGAGGGAGGAGCTGACAGGGAAAAGCCATTCAACACTTCCCTTCAAACCCCAGAGACAAGAGGGGGGAGGGGTGCAGGGTTAGCCACTCAACACCTCCACAACAAAAGCAATACCAACAATTTGGCAGCGGGTACGTTTTTGATGGAAGGTTAGTGGAGTGGACGCCCAACACCTGCAACATTCCCCAGAGGCAGGGGAAGTGGCACAGGACCCGGGGAATTGAGTGGGGGAAGAGAGAGAAGAGGTGGAGAGGGAGAGGGAATTCAGGGACAAGGCGTAGATGAATGTTAAAAGAAAAAAAGGGAAGAATGCAGAAGAATGTGCAATGACAGGAAAGAAAAATTAGAAAAATTATGATGCTGAAGATTAATTAGGATAAAAAGGATGGGGAATATAAACAAAGAGCGAAGATGTGGAAGGAAAGATGGTAAGCAAGGAGATTTTTTTACCAGCCTCCCTGTTAACTGGAGGTTATTCCGGGGATCAACGCCCCCGCGGCCCCGTCCATGACCAGGCCTCCCGGTGGATCAGGGCTTGATCAACTAGGCTGTTACTGCTGGCCGCACGCAGTCCAACGTACGAGCCACAGCCCGGCTGACCCGGCACTGACTTTAGGTATCTGTCCAGCTCTTGAAGGCAGCCAGGGGTTTATTGGCAATTCCCCTAATGCTTGATGGGAGGCTGTTCAATAGTCTTCGGCCCCGGATACTTATGGTTTTTTCTCTAAGTGTACCAATGGCGCTCCTACTTTTAATTGGTATTTTGCATAGCCTGCCCAGTCTTTTACTTTCGTAGGGAGTGATTTCTGTGTGCAGATTTGGGACCATTCCTTCCAAGATTTTCCAAGTGTAGATTATGATATATCTCTCCCTCCTGCGTTCCAACGAGTACAAGTCAAGTGCTTCCAAGCGTTCCCAGTAGTTAAGGTGCTTGACAGAACTTATACGTGCAGTAAAGGATCTCTGTACACTCTCTAGATCTGCGATTTCACCTGCTTTGAATGGAGATGTTAATGTACAGCAGTATTCCAGCCTAGAGAGAACAAGTGATTTGAAATGGATAATCATTGGCTTGGCATCTCACGTTTTGAACGTTCTCATTATCCATCCTATCATTTTCTTTGCACTTGTGATCATGGCACTGTTGTGATCTTTGAAAGTGAGATCCTCAGACATTACTACTCCCAGGTCCATAACATTATTTTTCCGCTCTATTGTATGGCCAGAGTCTGTAGTATATATATTCTGTTCTAGTTATTATCTCCTTCAGTTTTCCATAACGGAGTAGTTGGAATTTGTCCTCATTGATCATATTGTTTTCCCTTGCCCACTGGAAAACTTTGTTTATATCTTCTTGGAGGTTAACCGCGTCCTCAGCAGATGACAGCCTCATGCAGATCCTAGTATCATCCCAAAGGATGCAAAGGATGTTACGGTGCTGTGGTGTATATCTCTGTCTATGTCTGATATGAGGATAAGGAATAAGATGGGGGCGAGTACTGTGCCTTGTGGAACAGAGCTCTTCACTATGGCAGCCTCCAATTTAACTCTGTTGACCACTACTCTTTGTGTTCGATTTGTTAGGAAGTTGAAGATCCATCTCCCCACTTTCCCAGTTATTCCTTTAGCACGTATTTTGTGCGCTATTACGCCATGATCGCATTTGTCAAATGCTTTTGCAAAGTCTGTGTATATTACATCTGCATTCTGATTTTCTTCCAGTGCATCCAAGGCCATATCATTGTGATCCAGTAGTTGTGAGAGGCAGGAGCGACCTGCCCTGAACCCATGTTGCCCTGGAGTGTGCAGATTTTGGGAATCCAGGTGATTTGCAATCCTGCTTCTTAGCACTCTTTCAAAGATTTTTATGATGTGGGACGTCAGAGCTATTGGTCTATAGTTCTTAGCTAATGCTTTGCTGCCACTTTTATGGAGTGGGGCTATATCCGTTGTTTTAAGTGACTCTGGAATTTCATCCTTGTCCAAGCTCCTCCTCCATAGTGTACTTAGGGCACGTGAGAGGGGTTTCTTGCAGTTTTTAATGAATACAGAGTTCCACGAGTCTGGGCCCGGGGCTGAGTGCATGGGCATGTTGTCAATGGCTTTTTCGAAGTCTATCGGAGTTAGGGTAATGTCGGAAATCAAGCATACAAAATATTTATGGAGTTTTGAGGCTCATTCATGAAGAAATCATTTGGGTCGTCGATCCTCAGACCGATTAGTGGTTCACTAAACACAGAGTCGTACTGGGATTTCAGTATTTCACTCATTTCCTTGTTGTCATCTG